GGCGGGTCTCGAACCCGTGGGCTCAGGCAATCCACTCACTTCAGCCTCCCAAAGGCGCGGGATTACAGGCTGAGCCACCGAGCCCAGCGAAAATGCAAAATTTTTTTAATTCTTTGTTAAAATATAAAAATGAAAGATGTTATAACAGATTAGAGACTGAAATCATGCAGGATTTTCAAAAAAGTGGAATGTACTCCCATAACCAATATGGAACTCTGTCTATTCTGTGGCTTTTAGAGGATTAAGAGAAAGATCCTGTGTTGTAGTTTTTACAGCTGGTCAGAAAAAATCAGTCATTAGTTAGCATTCTGCTCAGAGTCAAGGATTGTGGTTAGAGATGTTATGCAAACTGAGATGATAAAACCAAGTGACCTCCAGTGAACAAATAACCTGTATTCAGAAACAGCAGGGAAGTTGGAAAACTAATAGTGGGGGTAGAACTGAAGGGATGTGATTTTTCTTTTTTAATGTGCAATCTAACAGCAACTCTCCCTAGATTTTGTGCTAAAATAAGAGCATTTTCACACATTTTAATTGCTCTGCTATAACAACAATGTGAACTCCAACCACAAACATTTATTATCTATTTAATTTTGTTCTAATTTCAGTGTAGCAAGAATTCACCTTGTAAGTGGGAGTAAGTGTCCATTTAGTAAAAAAATAAAATCCTTTCTCACATTACTAATTCTGTTGTACATTTCTATAATAAAGAACTAATAATGTCCTTTTTGTATTTCTCTATTTTTATGTTACATTTATAAATTATTATTCCCAAAGTAGCATTTTTTTGAACTGGAACCCCACTTTCTCCTTGTGTAAAGAATTTTTAAAAATTGTAGAATTTAAGGCTTCATAGTATTTCTAATCAGGATTTTATTTTATTTTTCTTTACTTGCAGAGATAGGGTTTGCTGTGTTGCCCAGGATGGTTTTGAGCTCCTGGTCTCAAGCGATCCTCCCTGCCTCTACCTCCCAATGTGCTGGGATTACAGGCATGAGCCACCATGCCTGGCCTTCTAATCAGGATTTTAGATAATATTTTTGTGTTATAATAAACCTTTATAGTACTTGGTGTTATAATACTTGTGGTAAACCTTACAGGACTGTGTTTTAAGATGCATTTAAGATGAGATTTATACAACGGAATAACTATTCAAACTTTTCTGATTATTTTTCAGACCTGTCATTTACTCCAGCCTTTATAGTAATGCTACAAAACGAAGAGGAATGGATAAAAACATTGGCGAACAACTCAATAAAGCATATGAAGCCTTCCGGCAGGCATGCATGGATAGAGATTCTGCAGTAAAAGAACTACAGCAAAAGGTGTGTGCTGCTTCTTCTGAAAATTATTCTTTAGCCTGGTAAATGGAATTTGAGAATCGTTGCATCTGAAAAATGTTCACTGTTAAAAACTGCCTTGAAGAATTATAATAACTGAAACAGAAGACTAAATTAATGGATGAAATTTGAGATCTTTGTTGCCTTTTTAGGAAGTGTTGTGATCTTTTAGGATGAGTTGATTTGATGGGTCTATTTTCAGGTAATTGTGAAAGGTGAAGAATGTGTCTCCCATAAATAATTTTTAAATATCAGTATTTACTTTATAAATAAGAAGGAAATTAATATAAAAAATAATTAGTGTTATGACAGACTGAAAGTTAGAAGTGTCTCTGTCTCTGTTTTGTTCTTTGTTTTTTTCTCATAGTTATTTGGCTGGCAGGAAGACTGTACAAATCTTAAAATATTCTAGAACAAAATTTGCTATTAATTTATAATAGTCTTTCATACTTTATGACTGTGAAAAATAGACTATTTTAGTGAAAACTTTACTTAATAAAAGTTTCAGCTTTTAAAATTATCCCTGTACACATTACGTTTCTTTTTATAGTACTTTCAATTTCAGAAGAAAATTAATTGGTAGAAAGGCATACAGGCAAAAATACTTAGCCTAGTAGTTCCTAAACACATGTCTGTTACTGGTTCATGATGAGATTTTCACTGATGTGTAGCAAAAATGAGAAAAATAAGTATAATGTAATAAACTTCTTACAATACCAAATTTATTTCATTAAAATTCTGCCTTTTAATCTGATGTTATAGTCCATGTTTCCATACAAAGTAAAAGGCAGAATTTTATTAACATACACTTTTGTGAATGATGATGATAGGGTTATCTCCTTGTTTAATATCATTAGCAAGTATTATTTCCCGAAATCCCCAGTTCTACCTGCATATTCTGTGATTCTCTAGAAGGACTCAGAGGACTTGGCATACAGTCATACTCATAGCAAAGGTTCATTACAACATGTTAAAGAGACACAGCCAGATGATTAATGAAAAAAAGACATCAGGAGGAATGTAGAGGAATCCTTATTGTTCAGTCTTCCTATGTACCTTTCCTCTAGCTTCAAAAATTCAGTCACTTGTGCAACACATAGCAAACTCTATTTTAGATTCAAAATTCAGGTTTGTTTGTTTTTTTTTAATTGAGGTCTGGTCACATAGGCACACTCTGTTAACCAAAATTCCAGATGCTTAGAAGGAAAGATGTTCATCATAAATCTCATTGTACAGTCTAAGTAGGCTGGCAGAGCAGTCACAATTTTCTCACTTAGAAAATGTTTTCAGAAGCCAAGTTCCCAGATGCCAGCCCGGGGCATCTTGCAAAGAGACCTTTCTGAAGATAACAGCCTAAAGCCTGCTATGTTAAATTTCAACTGCACAGGCAGTTGAAAGTGGGAAGGGAGGATCTTATTTTGGTTCCCCCAGTTTAAAAAAGAACATCGTTTTACTAGCCTGTGAAATTCTGAAGTCTAAGAGATATGCTAGCCATGCAGTTCTTAGTTTCTTCCATAAATATAGGAACTGCACCATTTTCTTTTTCCTTTCTAATTGATAGATCTACTATAAAACTAGATGTTATATGTAACTCCCTGTTTTCCTCAGAAACTATCATTATTCTTTGTGATTTGCCTCTTGGCTTACAGAAGAATACTCTGTTATATAAGTATATTCATGAACAGTATCATTAGGGATGGATGGGAGGAAGAGGGGCACAGTATGACAGAAGGCTTTCTAAAATTATTGAAATGAAGTTTAGAATTTGGATTTTCTTTTTCCAGTTCAGGCTTAAGACATAATCACTTTTGTAAAAAAAAAAAACAAAACTGACCAGGTGCAGTGGCTCAAGCCTATAATCCCAGGACTTTGAGAGCCCAAGGTATGAGACTTGCCCAAGCCCACGGGTTCGAGACCAGCCCGGGCAACTTGCCAAGACCTCATCGCTACAGTAAATCAAAAAATTAGCCAGGCATGGTAGTACATACCTGTAGTTCTGGCTACTTGGAAGGCTGATGCGGAAGGATCGCCTGAGCCCAGCAGGTTTACACTGCGGTGGCCATGAGCATACCACTGCACTCCAGCCTGGGCATGGAGTAAGACTCCAACTCAAACAGAAACAAAAACTAAACTAAACTTAAATATCCAGTGTTTATTCTTTTTATTTTGTGACAAGGTTTATTAAGAAACCTTGACAATTCCATATCTGTTCCAGGAAAGTTAATAAACAGAATTAGGGGAAAGAAGAGTATTGAGATATTCTTAGGATAAGGCAGAAATAGGAATTTATCTTTATTCCTACTCTTTTCATGTTGGCCAAAGAAAAGCAACTGAAGACTCTGGCAATTTAACACCTATGGAACATGCTATGGAAGAAGCCTTTGCTTATATTACCATATATTCCACAGAAGGAAAAGAGAAAGTTTCTTAGATATTTATTTTGCAAAGTTGATGTTTGTGAAATACTCAAGAAGAGATGAAGAAAAAATGTATGAGGGGGACCAAAAAAACCCAGAATTCATTCCTCCAGATCAAATGGTCAACCAAAGTTTTTATCTGGAAGTTTTGAGAAGATTCCATCTTGATTTGCGGGAGAAGCATCTTGATTTGTGGTAAACAGGTGACTGGTTACTCCACCAACACAACACACCTGCCGATACCACACTGAGTATTCAGCAGCTTTTGACCAAAAATGGCATGGCCCCTATGCCCCACCCTCCCTCTTCACCCAGTCTCACCCTGAATGATTTTTTATTTCCCTGGATGAAAAAAATCCTCAAAGGGAAATGTTGCTGATGTGAAAGAGGTGAAACAAAAAACGGCAGATGCGCTAAAAGGCATCAAAAATTGTCGAGTTCAAAAATTCATTTTGAGCAGTGACAAAAGCATCTCAACAGGTGTATTGCATCAAATGGAGAGTACTTTGAAGGCGACTGATGTTTAAGCATGTAAGAATAAAGACATCATTTTTTATAAATTCTCGTTTTAGGGGGAGTCTCTTCTCATATACTGTATATTCTTTTGTATTAAGTGCAGAATATCCTGATTTATTTAAAACACATTTATTGAGTACCCATTATTGGGGTCTTGGTAAATTTTTGAGAACATTGAAATTAAAAAAATAAATAAATAAAACATCGTTTATACTCATAAGGAACTTTTTTAAAGTTCAAATAAATAACAAAATAGACATTTCATTATATAATTTAAAAGATAAAAAAGAAAATTGAGAGTCGTTACAGTAGTGTACCAAGTGCCATAATAGAGATCAGTGCAGGATAATATATGAGCACAGAGAAGAGGCACCTAACTCAGTCTGTGTGGAACAAGTCATAATCTCAATATGAGTCAATACTTGAGCTAAGATTAGGAAGAGTTTAGTAATCTGGAAAAGAATGGTCCTATAAGTAGGAGCACTATATATAAAAAATTTGGGCTCAGTGGCTCAGCCTATAATCCCAGCACTTTGGGAGGCTGAGGTGAATAGATTGCCTGAGCCCGCAGGTTTGAGATCAGCCCGGGCAACTTGGCGAGACCTCATCTCTACAATAAATCAAAAATTAGCTAGGCATGGTAGTGCATGCCTGTAGTTCCAGCTACTTGGAAGACTGAGGCAGAAGGATTACTGGAGCCCAGCAGGTCAATGCTGGGGTGGCTGTGAACATGCCACTGCACTCCAGCTGGGTGACAGAGTGAGATTCCAACTCAAAAAAAAAAAAAATTCAGAAGCAAGGGAGTATGATACATTCCTTGAACCACAAAGTGATCTTATGGCTCCAAAAAGAATAACAGGGCATTGTAGTCAAAGAAGTTGTAAAGGTAGATTATGACTCAGTCATGGTGAATATGGCTAAGTAGTTTGTACTATGTCCTTATTAATTATAAGCTGCTGAAGGATTAATATGTGCTGTAGAAAAGTCTGCATGACGGTGGGATAGAGACAGATAGAATACAGAACAATGGGGAATTTTAGTTTAACAAATATATATTAAGAACCTTTTTTGAGCCGGGCTTGGTGGCTCAGCCTGTAATACCACGCCTTTGGGAGGCTGAGGTGAGTGGATTGCCTGAGCCCGCGGGCAGCGAGACCTCATCTCTACAATAAATCAAAAAATCCGCCGGGCGTGGTGGCGCATGCCTATAATTCTGGCTACTTGGAAGGCTGAGGCGGAAGGATCGCCGGAGCCCAGCAGGTCGAGGCTGCGGTGGCCAGGAGCAGCCACTGCACTCCAGTCTGGGTGACAGAGTGAGACTCCAACTCAAAAAAAGAACCTTTTTTATTTTAAGCAATGTTCTAAGAGCAAGGTGACAACCATCCAGTTGCACTTTATGCACTTCAGTATATGTATTAACATAAAATTATACATTATGTAATTTTATGGTATATAAAATATCTATTACTATACATACTAAATACATGCATACATATATTTTGTACCTCAATTTAAGAAAATAAAAATTGAATGGCAATCAGCTTGAACAATTAAAATAAGGACCTAAATTAAGCATAAGGGATGAATTGGGGAAGAGATCTCAGGTTTATTTAGGAGATATAATGGAAAGCAGGTGACACCTGAATATAGGACACATCTGAATATGATGGAATAAATTCTCAGTTGATATCTGGAATAGATGACTGGATTGGTAGTGGTACTGTTTAGTTACTTTAGTTAATATTTTTAGTTAATATTTTACTTGTGGGACATACAAGCAAAAATGTCCAATGAATAGTTAACATGGATCTGTTAGTGTAGAAAGAATACTAAGTTAGAAATTATACATATGGCAATAACTGATTTTGTTGTAGCCTTAAATGTGGATGGCACCTTCCAGTTAGACTGTATAGGTTGAAAGAATATTTGAAAGGCACAGTAGAGGGGAGAGGAGGAAGGGAAGAAAACCAACCAGTTGGTCCCTGGAGAACACAGATTAAGTAGTTGAGAGGCATAGAAAAAGAAACTCAGAGAATGTTATTTTATTTTATT